AAATGTATTTAGTTGTGATTTGTTACTTGTAACCGCGTGTACTGTATCAGGTTAACTGGATATTTTATCTTATCGCGTGCAAAGTCACATTAAAAACGCGACGCGTGCTGTTTGTTTATGGAGCTCCGTGCTAGAGTTCTGCTCCCGCGATTTATTCGGAAATTTATTCCCGCGCCGCAGAAATCTGGCGCGGGGACAGCCGCGGGAATAAATTTCCGAATAAATCACGGGAGCGGTCGGTAACGGGTTTAATTTGGGACGGGAGCGGGCTGTCTAGCAATATCACGGATATTGCTATGCGAATTTGAAAGAGAGAGTCTGCGTGGTGCTTGTGTGTGTGTGTGTGTGTTAGTGCGCACGCGCGCGTATGAGAGAGAGCGAGAGAGAGAGAGAGCGAGCGAGCGAACGAACGAACGAGCTTTGTGCTGTGTGTGTGTGTTTATACAGACAGCTTGGCTGTCTGGACTGTATACTGGGTGATTTTTGGTTGTGTTCTCCGCTCTAGCGGGACCGGGCGCGGCGGGCAGAAAACGGAGCGGGTTCTCAGGCTAAAACCTGGCGGGTGCGGGCGGAAGCGGGAGCGTTGTCATCCGGAGGTGTGTGTGTGTTTTTGTGTGTGTGTGTGGTATGGCGAGTACACGACTGTCTCCTTCGTTCGGTTATCCGTGGCACTATCCACTCGCCATAGTGTGGCAGCTAAAATCCACGTCTACACTATCGATCGTGTATGAACTGTGATTACTTTTTAAATTGCTGATTAGCTATTGGCCATTTCCCTCTCTTACTGAAGGCAGTCGACCAATCGCGACAGACTGTCATCGGTCCAATCAGCGCAGATTAGCTCCGCGCTAAGGAGGGGTTTGGGAACAAATGAATCACTGGACGATTCATACAGGAGTCGCTGGGATAATCAGGTAAAAATAAATGCAGATTATAAGACCATGAAAGTGTTTTTTGACCTTGCATGCATATTAGACTGTTGTTGGAGACCCTTACAACCAGGATATGACCCTATTTCATGTATAATATGGGCTCTTTAAACATTTAATGCATGTGACTGGAACAAAACCAACCTATTTATAACAAATTTATCTATGCAATCATTACCTTCATTCATTTTCTTTTCGGCTTAGTCCCTTTATTAATCAGGGATCGCCACAGTGGAAAAACCGCCAACTTACCCAGCATATGTTTTATGCAGTAGATGCCCTCCAAGCTGCAACTCACTGTGAAACCCCTAAACACACACATTCACATACATGCACTATGGACAATAAGGCCTACCCAATTCACAGCACATGTGAGGGAAGCCAGGAGGAAACCCACACGAACATGCAAACTCCAAACAGAAACATCAACTCATCCAGCCGAGGCTTGAAATAGCGACCTTCCTGCGCAACCCCCTTTCGAGACTATTTCAGTTAAATTTATGCATTTGGCAGCGTTTGATTTTAGAGACTTTTTTTTTTTGCTTTCTGTGAGCTTTTCGGCACCGCCTTTCCTTTTTTATGGTCCATCTCTGACAATTAGCTTGTGTTGCACTTTACTGTTTGTTTGACATTCTTACCAGATTTTGATTACGTCCGCATAACCTCTAATTGGGTCAGCCCATCTCGAAACCAGTCGGTCATTGCCGATTGGGCCACTATAATCATCATCATCATCATCATCATCATAATACTCACATCTTGCAAGAGATAAAAGCTGCCTGCATGTAAAAACAATGCATATAAAAAAATAAAATAAAAAAACAGCTGACCGGCCCACATTTAAAAAATGGTCCGGCCCTTCTGGCATTTGCCAGAATTGCCAGATGGCCAGTCCGCCCCTGGACACTACAGATCAAAAAGCGTATACGCGGTCTTCAGCCCCAGAGGGTTAACAGAGCCAGGAAATGTTCACAGTATGTCTGATAATATTTTTTCTTCTGGAGAAAGTCTTATTTGTTTTATTTCGGCTAGAATAAAAGCAGTTTTAATTTTTTTATAATCTATTTTAAGGTCAATATTATTAGCCCCTTTAAGCTATATTTTTTTCGATAGTCTACAGAACAAACCACTGTCATACAATAACTTGCCTAATTACCCTAACCTGCCTAGTTAAACTAATTAACCTAGTTAAGCCTTTAAATGTCACTTTAAGCTGTATAGAAGTGTCTTGAAAAATATCTAGTCAAATATTATTTACTGTCATCATGACCAAGATAAAATAAATCAGTTATTAGGGATGAGTTTTATGTTTAGAAATGTATTAGTATTATGATAAGTAATGTGTTAAAAACTTAAATTGGGGAAAAAACAGGGGGCTACTAAGTCAGGGGGGCTAATAATGACTTTAACTGTACTTATTTCGTACGAGTATAGTTTTTTTACAATAGTCAAAAATACATTGTATGGGTCAAAACATTATGCCAAATGTCATTTGAATATTAAATTAATATCCTGTTCCATGAAGATAATTTGTAAAGTTAGGAATGTGCGTGGCTAAGAACTTCATTTAGACAACTTTAAAGAGTAAAGTTTACAGTATAATACAGCGGTCACCAAACTTGTTCCTGGAGGGCCGGTGTCCTGCAGATTTTAGCTCCAACCCTAATCAAACACAGCCGATGTGAGCTAATCAAGGCCTTATTTGGTATACTTTAAACATCCAGGCAGGTGTGTTGAGGCAAGTTGGAGCTAAACTCTGCAGGGACACCGGCCCTCCAGGAATGAGATTGGTGACCCCTGGTATAATATATCAATGGAAAGCTGTATTTTTCATATATTTCCCAAATAACAGACCAAGGAAATTTTGACGGAATTTCCTATCAATTTTTCTTTTGGTGAAAATCGAATTACTTTTTGGCAGGAATAATTTTTTTAATATAGGTTTTTAATGTTATTTCAGTATTATTCGATTATTATTATTATTTTATTTTGTTATTAGCCCCTTAATAATTTTTTTTAAACATTTTTATTTATTTTTATTGTTCAAACAAATCACTGTTATACAATAACTTACTAGTTGCCTAGTTAACCTTATTAACCTACACTGTAAAATATACAGTATTACTGGCAATTTTGGTTGCTAGCAATACTATAAAATTTGTATTGCTATAGCACATGCTATGGCCCCATATGGTCCAAAAGCAAAGCTTGTTTTTAATAAAACAAATATAAATCTGCATATAATAAATAACATTGCTGCTAAGAATAACATTATACTAATGCAAATTCTCATGAATAAACTGAAAAAGCCCCCCGAGATGAAAAAGGCATGGAGGCAGTGGTTTTAATATTTATGTAGAAAATAATAATTTTAATCCTTTAATTGTTTTCATCTGTAAGGATATTTGTGTATTGCTGTACATCCTGTGTGTATTCATGCAGTGTAAGTGTTTAGACCTGCATAACTAAATCGCTCCACACTGGACTTTAGAGCAGCTTTTAGTTGGTCAATGATGAGGTTTATTTCAGTTCCTCAAAATAGCAAACCACCAACAATGCTCCCTAATGCTGCGTTCACACCAGACGCGGAACGCGTGGATAAATCGCGCGTAAATAGCCGCGTGAACATTTGAGTTTATTCGCTTCATTCGCGCGTCAAATCCGCTTCATTCGTGCGTCAAATTCACTTCAGAACAGGATTTGCGTGATGGGCAAAAAGCAGGGCTTTTGTCTGCCCGGTGACTCTAGCTTCATAGCTGAATGGCTAACATGGATTTAATTAAGAAAAAAAAAACAGTGTTTATGTACTTTTTTTTTTTTATACACCTCCTTTCAGAGGTGCATCCAGCTCTGTGAGCTCATAAACTCCCCCAGAAACTGAACCTGGATGATGGAGGCTTTCAGCGGTGCTTCTGAAGCATGGTTTATACTTCTGCATCAAGTGACCGGCGTAACCCACGGCGCATGCAACGCGCGTAGCTGTGCATTTATACTTCTGCGCGCTGTCTCTGTTGGTCTGCATTAACACTTCCGAAACGCTAGTTGGCAGTGAGGTGTTAATGTTCCTCTGTGTCGAGTTTCTTCGCTGTTGTTTTGCTTTCCCTGAACACTTCCGGGATGTACAAGTGGCTCAAACTCGCTCATTTTGAGGCAGGAACCGGCGGACGTGCCACAACTTTAACTATGAGGTAAACACAAAACAAAAATTTCCACACTTGTAAGCAATCGCTCCATCAGGCTCGCACCATTCACTCGGCTCTCGGTCCCGCCCAGACTCATCAGCGCTACCAAGCCGACCAATCACAGAGCTTGTGCTACGCGTCGTTGCAACGTGTAGTTACGTGTAGTTTTTTTGAGAGGTGCACGTCAGTGACGCCGACGACCCCAGCGAAGGGCTATGCGTCAGTGCCGTAGCATACGCCGGCGTTTGATGCAGAAGTATAAATTGTAATAAAGTAGAAGTAATAAAGTAATAGTAAAAGAAGTAATAAAGTGCGCAAAACGCACAACGCCACGCCATTCGCGCTTATCGCATTATTCGGGCCGCGTCATTCGCGCCGCAGGATGTCTATTCGTGCGTTTGCATTGACCTTAAATGTACATTGACGCGCGTTCCGCATCTGGTGTGAACGCAGCATAACACACCTCCATTTTAGACCAGCACACTCAAGAGTCCACAAAGTGCTACAAATGAATTTGCTATTTAAACAACATGGCGCAAAACGGGAAAATCAGGGTTGTGCTGGTCTGAAAATAGCAACAAATCGCGCCAAACACGTCTTGTGCTTTATTGTGCCGGGTGTAAGATAGGACCCTCAGATTTGTGCTGCAGGTTAACAAATTTACCTTGACCTTGAGGCAAACTGAGCAATGTTAGTTCCTGCCCCAACAGCAAGTAGACCTCATGAACTAACCACCAGAGTTTGGACATATTCACAGACAGTCTGTCATGAGTATCTGTCTCATGTCAACACACTGTATACCTCTGAAAGGCTCGATTACACTTCTTCTTTCTACAGTGCTGCGTCTGAACATCAGTGAAAAGTGAGAGAGAACAAAGCGCTTCAGTGACCTCAGAGGCGGTCTAAAGGCTTTTTTCCCTCAGTTATTAATCAGCTAGCAGCTAAATCATCCACCTGCTATGCAAATACTCAAGCACACACACGCACACACACGCTACTCACCGTCCTCATATACAAAGTTCTAGGAGATTTGCATCCAAACCTCACAGCACAGTGCTTCCTGATGAACTGAACACCTCGTGCATCATGGTAACGTACAGCTGTTTCTGTTTATTCCATAGGTTGCATGTTGATTTGAGCTAATGTTTGACCTGCTGTTAGAGATTTGAGTTGGCTTCGGGTGCTAATGAACGCTATTTTATATGTAAACAAACATCGTCTTTTATTGAAAGTGTGTATTTTAGGTGATTTCTGCTTTGAAACCTGCGCACTGTTTCAGCTCCTCATTGACGCAGGATTAAATGTGTCATTGTTCTCTGTCTGGTGAAATTCAGCCACTGATCTGATCAAAAACGGAAAGTAGAAACGTTCAGCTTCCTCTTATCTGGCCATCACTGCGAGACGGACACTATTATGCTGTTAATATGTGCTTGTTTTGTTTTCTATTTAACATTAATTTATGCTCTTACATTCAATAATAACATTACTTTATATGTTTGCACGTACTTTAAGTACAATAAATGCTGTTAGAAGTTAAAAATAAATATACACTGTGAAAAAATATCCTTTAATTAGCAGTTTTCTGTTGTTTTGTGATCCATGTTTTTATTTTCCCCCCTTTATTTTATCTTTTTGAATTGCATTATGGGATCTTTATCATTTTTACAGCAACTTTTAACCTTGAAAAGTTAGAAAAGGTGACTTATATGAACATTTGTAATAGTTTGCAGGGCTATACTGTCTGTTGGTGTTGTATTCTATGCTACAACCACCTTACTTTTAATACTAAACCAACAGCACATGTTCTGTTGTTTTACAGACTTATTTCTCTGTATATTATTGTTTCTTATACATTATATTATTTCAAACGACTTAAATGTCAATAAATGTCACTTTGTTAAACTGTAGAGTCGAATTTTCGACATCTCATAATGCAATTCACCACCGTAAATAAACAGACAACATAAAATATAGAGACTGTTAATTAATTTTTTTTACTGTGTAGTTATGTGGCGCAGAGAAGTGATTCAAGTTATGTGTAGAGAAGTAAATGACTGTGACACATTTGTATATCTAAACAGTGTTAGTGTAATGAGTTGCAAAGTAAATATTAATCACCTAACAGTCTATTTTTGATCTAATGAGAATTAGTTGGCATGTAGATTAGGCATGGGCCAATATAAGGCCGTACTCACACTAGGTACAGTTGCCTCGAACCGGGCCAAAGCACGCTTGTCCCCCCTCCCGTCTCCCCCGACGGCCCGCACTCACACCATATCGGGCCTCGGCACGCTTACGTCATCGCTGCTGCGCTGTTCAGAAGCGCTCTCTATGGCAAGCCTTTTTAGCATTTAAATCTTTGTTCTGACTCCATAAATATATTTCGAGATATCTCTAATTATATTTTGACTAGTCATAATTATAATTCGACTAGTCAGAATAACAATTAGAGATACCTGCAATTACAATTGTACTAGTACGAAATCAGATTGGAGATATCTGCAAATATATTATGACTAGTCATATTCCTCCATTGACTTCCATTGAAAAATATTTGCAGATATCTCTAACTGAGTTTTGACTAGTCACAATTGTAATTAGAGATATCTTTGAGTTTTTACTAGTCATAATACATTTGGAGATGTCTTTAATTCCTCATATTTAGAGATATTTACAAATATATTTGAAGATATCTCTAATTAATTTACTAATAGTCGTATTACAGTTGTAGATATCTTGAATTGGATTTTTGACGAGTCAAAACTCATTTAGAGTTTCTGACGGTATGATAACCTTGGATAAAAATATCACAGTTTCACAATATCACGGTATTGTCTTTACTGCTCTAAAATGACTTATTCTAAAATCTCTGAGTTAAAATCAGCAACTTATTTCCCCCACTGAACGCAATATATTTTATTTCATGAAATATTTATAATATTCGGGAACAGTAAACATGTTTGGCCAAATAATTAAAATGAATCATTCACTTCTGCTGTCTTCATTAATTTCAGAAACAGATTTCTTTACAACACATGAAAATAAAACCTTTACACATAGCCGGACTAGATTGGGTCTATACTTCACAGAGAAACTAAAACTACGCCTATAACTTGCAGCAACCTCATAAAAGTTAAACAAAACTTTTCATAAACTTCTCATAAACTTTTCTTACATGATAAAGTATCATACAGTACATATCATAAGCTTTATTTAGCAAAAAAAACAACAACAAACAACCAAATTTAAGGTTATTTGGGCTAAAATTGGGTTACACGTAGCCGGACTACCTAGCCGGTGAAATGACGGCTATTGCTTGCTGGGCATATACCTTAGGAGCAATATTACAGACAATAGCTGCGTCCCAAATGGCACACACTATGCACTCATGCACTATGTACTTATGCACTTACACACTCAACAGGATAGTATATGTATGTAGTGGTGTCCCAAATGGCACTCTAATGTTTTTTTACTAAGCGGAAATTCAAACCGTTTCCCTGATGACGTTTGACGGTTGCCAAATCAGTGAAATAAACGACCGACTTATCAAATAATACCTGCCATGAGTATAACCACATTTACCATCGGGAGGCGCTATAATCACTCTAGTAGGAGAATTTTGCTTTCACCATCCAAAATAAATAAAGTTATTCAACATGTGCGTCCGATAGCTCCGCAAACCATCAAACCTGCTGTCGTTGAGTGCGTGAAGTGTCCATCATTACACACTTCACTTTAGCGGCTGAATGAGTGCATCATCCGGGTAATTAAAGTGCACTTAATGTTTTTAGAGTTTTCAGTGTGAACGCACTACTTACACTATTTATACTACAAAATGGCGTAGAATAATGCATAAGTATGCAATTTGGGACGCAGCTAAAGTTAGCGGTTTTAAAACCTTGACTTTTCCAAACCACGATAAACCTTTTAACAAGTTAACGTCCCATGCCTAATGTAAATGTAACTTACATTTAACAAACGCACCATCAAAATAAAATGTGACCAATTATTTTGCTTGTTTTAAGGAAAAATCTGCTTAATTTTGACACATTCTTTCTGAAAACAAGACAATCTGTTTTGCTTGTCTACAAAATGCTTCTTGATTAACGAATTTTTAGATATTTGGACTAGAAACAAGACACAAACTTTAAATAAGAAAGCGTTTTTTGCAGTGTGCTGTAATTACATTTCATTTTCCCTGAAAGAGTATAAAGTAAGGGATTACTTCTCATTTTTAGGTCGGTTAATTACAGTTGATTATGATGTACTGTAGAGTAGTTGTGTTAAATAAATCAGCAGGTCTGGATAAATCAATCCAGAAAATAGTGTAATACAAATATATTCAGTTTTTTTTTCAACTAAAGGATTTTCAAGACAATTGCACATTGAGTGAGAAATTAATGTCAATTATTGTATGAAATATGGTGTCGTTACTTTAAAACATTTCATTTTTGATAAATAAATAGGGTTTGAGTTTCTTAAGTGTTACTTTTGTTTTTGAACAAAGCTAAAAGGACATGTTTGACTCAAATGTAAATAATTGAAATAGATTAATTTCTATTATGTGTTGATTTATATGGATTTTGAAAGTAGTATGAAGTCAGGTAATTATATAATTTTTTTGTAATGCTGGACAAATATTAATCACATCCAAATAATTTATGTGTGTGTGTATTATATATATTTATAATGTAGAAGTGATACACACACATACATAAACAAAACAAAACCAACAAAAGAGTTTTGTTATATAGATATTTAAATTTATATAATCTCTATCATATACATACACTACCTGACGAAAGTCTTGTCGTGGATCCCAGTTTTAAGAGCGACAAAGAATAACTCGAATTCTAGTTGATCATTTGGAAAAGTGGCAGAAGGTGGATTTCTCTAATCAATCTTCTGTTGATCTGCATCCCAATCATCACCAATACTGCAGAAGACCTACTGGAACCAGCATGGAGCCAAGATTCTCTCAGAAATCAGTCAAGTTTGGTGAAGGAGAAATCATGGTTTGGGTTTACATTCAGTATGGGGGTGTGCGAGAGATCTGCAGAGTGGATGATCAACATCAACAGCCTGAGGTATCAAGACATTTGTGCTGCCCATTACATTACAAACCACAGGAGAGGGACAATTCTCCAGCAGGATAGCGCTCCTTCTCATACTTCAGCCTCCACATCAAAGCTCCTGAAAGCAGAGAAGGTCAAGCTGCTCCAGGATTGGCCAGCTCAGTCACCAGAAATAAACATTATTGAGCATGTCTGGGGTAAGATGGAGGAGGAGGCATTGAAGATGAATCTAAAGGATCTTGATGAACTCTGGGAGTCCTGCATGAATGCTTTATTTGCCATTTCAGATTACTTTATAAGTGATTTGAGTCAGTGCAGAGATGTATGGATGCAGTCCTCCAAGCTCATGATGGAGTCAGACACAATATTCATTCTGTCTCCACTGCAGCAGGACTTCATATTCTATACTGGACATTATTTATTTTCAGTGACAAGACTTTTGTCTAAGCAGTCAGACCTTACTGTCCTAATTAAATCATTAATAATCAAGGCTTGACCATATGTTATTGTGGTAAAATAAGCGTCATCTAGAGGCCTTTGCTTTTCTTAATCGCCACTTCTGATACCAAATCATCAACTAGAAGTCAACTTATTATTTGTTGTTCCTAAACCTAGAATAGACAAGACTACTGTCAGGTAGTGTGTATATTTTATATCTAAATATAAGTAAATGTTTTCTCTAATATGTGCAGGCATTTGTGGATTTGTATAGTACATATGTGTGTGTATAATATATATAGTGTTTATTATTACAGTACAGAAACAAATATGTCAAAACAATATAATATAAACACAATGTAATGATGTAATTGGTAATTAATAACTGTTTGAATTAACGTATCCAGCCCCTGTATCTAACCAAGATAAGAGGCTAAGTAATAATGCGGTTTGCAAACTGAACATTCCTTTTTTTAGGCTGGCTTGTGTAGCAAGCCAGACTACTGTTATCCCATTTTTCTTCTGAGACTAAAAAACAAAACGCATCTCCTCCTAGAGCTTTCGAGCTATGACCACCAAACTCACACCAAACCTTCAAACTGGTCTGACTCGGTGTGCTATATCTTTTCCAACTGATCCGACTTTCGGTTTTCCGAAAAACGTCCCGGGACCGTTGGAAAAATCCCATTGACTTAACATTGGACCAGACTTTGTGACCTCATAACTCTGCATCAGACTGTCACACAGACTTCTAACTGGGCTCATTTAATTCAGACTACCTAACTGCCAATACCTGATGAGCTTTTAACTTTCTGGCCACGCCCTAGTAACCACTTTTGGGACCCTAGAAACTGTCCCATAGACTTCCATTCAAAAGACTGTCATTGACTTTACATTGGATCAATCTTTGTGAGCTCATAACTCTGCATCAGACTCTCCTACAGACTAATGGCTGAGCTCATTTAACTCAGACTACCAAACTACCAATAACTGACGAGCTTTCAACTTTCTAGCCACTCCCTAACTACCAGATACTGCACCCTAGCAACTGTCCCATAGCTTAACAAATAACAAACCCATATCTATCTATCTATCTATCTATCTATCTATCTATCTATCTATCTATCTATCTATCTATCTATCTATCTATCTATCTATCTATCTATTCATACTTTTTAAAACTGTTTAAAGTAAATAAACTATTACCAACAGGCTTTCACAAGCCAGCCTCAAAGTTTGTCTCGACAAACTTTAATAATCTAGTTATACTTATTATATTATTAAACATGTGTGATATGTTCCTTCCCTCTGTGCTATTTCTGAACTCCTCATATTTACATAATCTTTTACTACATCCAGGAAGTAACAAACCAAACCCGCACAGCTCAATACACATTGTTCTTGTTAGAGTTTGACCTTGATTTGGGAAGAAAAAGTCATGTGAATTCATAAAAATTATTGTTGTGAATGTTCTGGAGCAAACACAACTAAGACATGTGTGTTTTTATTCATCTTTAGAGTTTCTTCGGGAAGACCTCCCGAAGACCTCCAGCTCCTCCCAAGAGAACAGGTACAATTATGACAAACTTTATACTTCTGTACAGACAAAGAATTGGAGGCCATTTATTTCACAGTCTATTATGTTTAGAAATGTGTTGAAATAAAATATATTATTTCGGTTAAACAGAAATTAAGGAAAAATATACAGGAGGGCTAATAATTCTGTACATACTTCTGGATAGGCTGGAAAACTGGGTTGGGCTGTCTGGGACAGTCCTTAAATGGTTCAGATCTTACCTTGAAGGGAGAGGTTACCATGTCAGTATAGGTGACCATAGGTCAAGATGGACACCCATGACATGTGGAGTTCCACAAGGCTCGATTCTGGCACCACTCCTGTTCAACCTTTACATGCTCCCCCTGAGCCAAATAATGAGAAAGAACCAAATCTCCTACCACAGCTATGCTGATGACACTCAGATCTACCTAGCCTTACTCCCTAGCCTTATTCCTGTTTATGTAAAGCACTTAGAATTGCCACTGTGTATGAAATGTGCTATATAAATAAACTTGCCTTGCCTTGCCTTGCCTTACTGCCTAATGACTACAGCCCCATTGACACCCTCTGCCAATTGTTACGATTTAAAAGATGTTAAATAAAGCGGAAGAGGAGTAACATTAATTTTTGGGTGAAACACATAAGCAACCACACAAATGAGGGACAAAACCAAGATCAGTTAAATGCAATAAAGTGATTTTATTTACAAAAATAGTGATAATAATGAATGCCAAAAAAATATGTATATAGAAAGATTATAAAATATTTACAAAGAGACATTGAATTTCACAGATAACAAATGACATAAGATGTTTGACCAGATATGGGAGAGTTGGAGAAATGAGAAGCGGGCGGCGTCCAAACAAAAGAAATAAATAAAACAAAACAATCTATTTGGCCCAATCTCTACCCTATCTATCCAAAATAAAAATGCAGAGGTTATTGAAAAGAAATCTTCGCGTCTATTACGCACTACCTAACCTATGCGAATCTCTGATGGGAAAACAAAAAGTACAGTGGGTGGAGCATGCCCCTTACCTAGTGTGTCTAATACAGAGATATTCAAACTACTTGTGCACAATGTATGCATTGATGAAATGAACAGTTGGATGTGCCAAAACTTTCTTCAGTTAAACAAAGAGAAAACTGAAGTCATCGCGTTTGGGAACAGAGATGAGGTTCTCAAGGTGAATGCGTACCTTGGCACCACGGGTCAAACAACAAAAAATAAAGTCAAGAATCTTGGTGTGACTCTGGAGTCAGATCTGAGTTTCAGTTGTCATGTCAGTAAATCAGCATACTAACATCTCAAAAACGTTGCAAGAATCAGATGCTTTGTTTCCAGTGAAGACTTAGAGAGACTTGTTCATGCTTTTATCAGCAGCAGGGTGGATTACTGTATCGGTCTCCTCACTGGCCTTCCCAAAAAAACAGTCAGACACTTACTGCTCATCCAGAATGCTGCAGCCAGAATTCTGACCAGAACCAGGAAATCAGAGCACATCACACCTGTCCTCAGGTCTCTACACTGGCTCCCAGTCACATTCAAAATAGATTTTAAAGTATTATTACTGGTCTATAAATCACTAAATGGCCTAGGACCTCAATACATTACAGATATGCTCACTGAATACAAACCCAACAGATCACTCAGATCTTTAGGATCATATAAACCAGAAGTTCCAAGAGTTCAGTCAAAGCAGGGTGAATCTGCCTTCAGCCACTATGCCCCTCGCTGCTGGAATCAGCTTCCAGAAATGATCAGATGTGCTCCAACATTAGGCACATTCACATGAAGACTGAAGACACATCTGTTTAGCTGTGCCTTTACTGAATGAGCACTGTGCTACGACTGAAAGATGACACTATTATATTTTTCTTTTCTTTTTAATTATCTTTTAACCTATTTTAACACATTTTTATCTGTTTTTTAAATAATTTTTATGTGTTTTTATTTTCTTATACTTGTCTTTTTATTCATTTTCCTATTCTTTTTATTTTATTTATGTAAAGCACTTTGAATTGCCACCTTGTATCAAATGGGCTATAAAAATAAACTTGCCTTGCCTTGTACATACACACAAAACATGACTGTGAAGTAAATTTCTGCCAATTTTTTTATAGTTTGTATTAAACAGAAATCAGGGAAGATATACAGGGGTTTATCTCTGTATACAGTAACCCTTTATTTTGATGATCCACTTGAGTATTAGACTGTCTGCTTAATATTTGTTGCTACTGCTCCTTCAACAGACGTTTAACCGACTATAAAACACTTTGCAGGGACATGTCAACACTAACCCTAACCCCAACCTAACAGTCCACTTATAATCTGATGAGAATTAGCTGGCATGTAGTAGCAGTGTAACTTAATTCAACAAACAGACCGTCAAAATAAAGTGTGACCCTGTATATTTATCTAAAGTTGATCAGATGGGGCATTACTACCTTTACCATTTTAAAATTTGTCTAATACAGGTAAATATGTAGGCAGCACGGTCACGCAATGGGTAGCATGATTGCCTCACAGCAAGAAGGTCGCTGGTTTGAGCTCCGGCTGGGTCAGTTGGCATTTCTGTGTGAAGTTTGCATGTTCTCCCCATGCTGGGTTTCCTAAATGTCCAAAAACATGTGGTATAGGTGAACTGGGTAAGCTAAATTGGCCGTAGTGTATGTGCGTGAATGAGTGTGTATGGATGTTTCCCAGTGATGGGTTGCAGCTTGAAGGGCATCCTCTGTGTAAAACATATGCTGGAAAAGTTGTCGATTCATTCCGCTGTGGCGACCCCTGATTAATAGAGGGACTAAACTGAAAAGAAAATGAATGAATGAACAAGTAAATATGATAAATTAATTAATGTGTCACTATAACTACCTCCCAAGTCTGATTGCAATAAGAATTGTAAACTTTTTGGTATGACAAGTATTTTATATAATTATATTTAATCATGTTCTACAATTTGTAAAATTACAGCGGCATAATAAAAATTTCCTGCAATGTCAGCCCTTTATTCTCACAACATTCCAGTAATTAGTTTGGACGAATGAAACCGTTAAAATACAAATATCAAAGTGTTCTTCTTTCCATTTTGTGTAATCTTTTTCCCCATTCATTTTCCAACACTTTGTTTGTAGACAACAGCCCTGGATATGGCTGGCCAGAAGGGGAATTTGTAAGTACCATGATCACCTTTTTAAAACACACACACACACACACACACACACACACACACACACACACACACACACAAACACACACACACACATAGTTCAAAAGTGTGGGAACTGTGTTCTTATCTTACTTCCTGTTGCTCATATCGAAATATAGTATCACTTCCCTTACAATAGTGAATTACTGCTGTTTTTTATGCATCATCCTGATGGTCAAACCAGACTGAGGTTGCAATAGTTTGTCTGATTCTAGATTCGCTTTATTTTAGTAACACAATTAATGAGTAACCAAATTATAGACATTGGAAAAGCTTCAATAAAAATCATACTAATAGTTTTTCGCTTGTTTTTAGTCTAAATATCTAAAAAATTCTAAAAATCAAGAACCATTTTTTAAAAGGGCACCTATTTTACCTCCTTTTTAGGATTTAATATACAGTTGAAGTCAGAATTATTATTTTAACCCAATGCATTGGGTTATTTTGATTAAATGTTATTTTTTCCATTCTGGTATTACTATTGCTACTATTACTAGTATTGATTTTATAATTATGGCCGGGTAAATAAAAAAAAACATACAGTATTTAAAAATATTGAAAATGCTTCATTTCCATTACATTTTAGTTCACTTTTTTTTAAAATAAATCAAGAATCACAAACAATGAAGAAACAGAACAAAGTGCAGACAGTTCTAAACTGTGCAAGCAGAAAATCATGTGTTGATGGAGCAGAATATGGAGCTCTATGTGCTTTATCAGTGTCTAGTACATTTAACCACATCCAAACGCTTCTAAAAGATAGTCTTGGATGGTGAAATGAATATAAAAACACAACACGGATAGGTAATTTGATAAAAAAATAACAATATTATTGCGTTAGAGCTTTAATAAACTTTATAACGCAAAAACAAAATTATGCACGCATAATAAATAATAAAATATTCAAATAATCAAAAAATTTTAACCCAACTGGTTGAGTTATTAAATAAATAACATAATAAAGGTTAAAAATAGCTCAACAAAGCAGCAAATATATTTAACTCAACTGGTTGAGTTACTAAATAAATAACATAATAAAGGTTCAAAATAACCCAACAAAGCAGCAAATATGTTTAACTCAACCATTGGGTTAAATAAATAACTCAACGTTTTTAGAGTGTGTTTAATAGAAAATAGATTTTCTCTAGATTTCCTCTCTAATAACTGATTTACTTTATCTTTACCATGATGACAGTAAATAATATTTAACTAGATATTTTTCAACACACTTCTATACAGCTTAAAGTGACATTTAAAGACTGAACTAGGTTAATTAGTTTAACTAGGCTGGTTAGGGTAATCAGGCAAGTTATTGTATGACAGTGATTTGTTCTGTAGACTATTGGAAAAATATATTGCTTAAAGGGGCTAATAATTTTGACCTTAAAATGGTTTAAAAAAAAAAAAAAACCTGCTTTTATTCTAGCCGAAATAAAAAAATAAGACTTTCTCCAGAAGAAAAAAAATATTATCAGACATACTGTGAACATTTTCCTTGCTCTGTTAAACATCATTTGGGAATAATTTATAAAAGAAAAAGGGGGGCTAATCATTTTGACTTCAACAGTAAGTCTTGTGTGTCTCCAGAATGTGTCTGTAAAGTTTCAGCTCAAAACACTCATCAGATTATTTATTATACCTTTATGAATATTGGAAATTTCGGCTCTGAGGACATTGTAGCTGTTTTTGTGGCCTGTGCCTCTCCACGCTCACCATTCCCACGTGCCTGTCAGAGTGTGTCTCTTGCTGTTTCTTAATTCCAAGAAGGAATTTCTTAATTCCAGTGGAGACCGGTCTTGCTAGGTCACTTTGGAAGAACGAACTCGGGAGACCGCGAGAACAGAGAGCGCGTCCTCTGAGAAGTGAGATGCTGCGTTCTTCCCATAGTTCTTCCTAATGGTCACATGACCTTCACGCATCTTTTTTTGGGAGGGGGGGGTTTCACCTTTAATTGACAGGACAGTAGAGAATTAACTGGAAAGCATGGGGAGCAGAGAGAGGGGAAGGATCGGCATTGGACTGCGAGGCGGGAATTGAACTTGGGTCAGCGTGAGCACTGGAGTGCATGTGTCAACGCACTAACCACTACACCACTGGCGCCGACTACCTTCACACATCTTTAACCACATTTTTTAAACATTACAGCATTCATCCAACGATATATTGTTTACCCCTTTTCACAATATATAATCTGCATAAAGACTTTACAAATATAAATTGCACAATATAAATAAAACAGGTTTTAATTCAAATTTCAGCAAACACACACCCTTAATGTGTTTTTTTCACCCTCATGCTAATGTTTATATTCATCGTTTTATTAAGGGAAACTCCTGAGATAAATAAGTGATATCTCTGAACTTTAAAAAATAAAACTATATAAAATACTGCGCTTCCCACCTCCAGTCGCAATGACTTCTGGGACTTCCAGAGCGAGTTCAATGCTCAAGTCTGCATCGGTGCGTCCTCGATATCAAGAACACATCCGGGGGAAGTTTGATGCGTCCTCCGTTGCGGTCTTAAGTATTGGAACTGAACTTTGGCTGCTGATGATGACAATACACGAGAACAGGAGGACGCAAGACCGCTGAAGAACACATATTGAGAAACAGCCTCTGTTTCCTGCTGCGTCAGATAAACAGCACAGTGACAGACATGAAGGAAGCAGATCTCACGTAAGGTTTGTGAGAGATACTACAGTAGGAACTTTCCCAATGATTATCTGATGTATTTGTTGTGGAGTTATTTAAAGCCTTACTGCAACGATGAGTCACACACAGTGACCTCTACTTTAACAATCTAGTCGCAAAGTCTAAAGCGCATGGTGTAAAAGCATTAAGGGCATGTCTGAATCCACTTTTGCTATTTTAAGGATGGAAAAATACAGTTTGCATCTAACAGGGTTGTGCTTATTCTCTTAATGACTTCTGGGTGTGTTTAGAGAATAATGTGCATTAAACCAATCAGAGTCTCACTTCCCATTCCCTTTATGAGTCAGTTGCGTTGCGCCGTTGTGCATTTACTGTTTACATGGTGACTTTGTAAGTGTAAAACTGAACGCTTCTAGCGAGAAAACAGTTAAACAGAGCATCTGCAGCTCGAGGATAAAGAACAAGCCTCCTCCATTCAGTCTCTTTACTTTTACTCTTTACTCCTTTACTTTGGTGGAGTAAGGAAACGGTGGAAACTCACTCCTCTGAGTATGCCTACATATTTCATTTCCTTTGTTAAGCGCAGTTTCAAAACTATTTCTAAATTCAGTTCTAATCTCCAGCAAAGGAATAAATGAACAATAATAATGAAGAGTGTGTAAAAACTGAGTTTATGGTGATGCAGTTGCTCCAAAATCCCACAGGTGGACAAATCTAAACTTGTTTTTATTAAAACAAATATAAATATGCAGATAATGTGTTCACGGCAACCTGAGTTTGATTTCCACCTCAAGGTAATATGCCGATACTTCCTCTCTCCTCGCACTTTTCTGTCTATACTCTCCATAGATATATACACTAGATATCGCATAGGGACCCTCAGCATGCGTCAGTAGCGCCGCCACATTGGTACAGTGCTCCCAGGACAAATGTCATTAAACCGCACTAGTCAAGACAGTGTCATTACGTGAAGATTACGTTTAGCGCTGTCTACGGCTTTATGCTAGTTTTGTTGAATAAAATCAGCAAACAATGCAAAAGAAATATGACAACGAGATGCTGCGCTGCCAGAAACTTGTATTATTGTCGGCTAACGTTAGTGAAAGAGTCGTTCGGGGGACTCATTCACAAACGAATCGCTCCGTCCGTCAGTATGAGAAGTGAAAGCAGGAGAGGACGTGTGTTTCAGGACACGGATTAGATCAAATTTAACAGGGAGGGTGAATAGTACATTTCTGTACACACAAACACAAGCTTTTTGTCAGGAATGCCCGTGCGGTCACTGATCCATCAATGTAGAAAAGTGATGTAAAATTATAATTTTAGTAATTAGAAAAAAAATTACACACTAACATCCAGGAAAACTCCCGATCATAGATATATGTGTATATGTGTATATCTCTGGCTTTGGATGGCCACAGTCCTCCACTGTACCTTGGTCCCGCATTCAGTTCAAAGGAGCGCTACCCTGTAGCAAGATGGCGGCGCTATTGACGCATTCCGTCCAATAGACAACAACAGGCCAGGCGACATCTAGTGTATATATCTATGTATACTCTCTACTGTCCTGTTAATTAAAGGTAAAAACAATAAATGTTGAGTACACAAGAAAAATGAGAGGAAATAAAGGTAGTTTTTTTTTTGTACACTCAATTCCAGTTCTGCAGACCAAATACGTTCAGTTGACACAACTTAAAACGTTTTGTAACAGAGTAGTTCACCTCTCCACAAAACTAATGAATAACCTTACGTTAACCCAACTAAATTTTTGTTTGTATTACTGATAAATCATGTTAGGTCAGTGCAGCTGATGTTTTCAGAAGTTGAGTGAACAAGAAAGAGCCAAAGAAAATAAGGATTATGTTGTTTGTTGTTGTACTGACTTACATACTTTTGCAGTGTATTTTAGATGCATCTTAACAATCTTTTGTGTTTTGTGTGCTTTATTTGTATGTTTTTGCAGGATGAGGAAGATGGAGACACGTATGAAGCTCCACCATGTGACCGCCCCACCATTAAAGTCCAACCGCGCCAAGTAGAGGAGAATGTTTACCTGGGTGTGTGTGTGTGTGTGTATATCATTATACACACATATCAACACTATCTGTCTGTCTGTCTGTCTGTCTGTCTATCTATCTATCTATCTATTGTCTGTCTGTCTATCTGTCTGTCTGTCTGTCTGTCTATCTATCTATCTATCTATTGTCTGTCTGTCTGTCTGTCTGTCTGTCTATCTATCTATCTATCTATCTATCTATCTATCTATCTATCTATCTATTGTCTGTCTGTCTGTCTGTCTGTCTGTCTATCTATCTATCTATCTATCTATCTATCTATCTATCTATCTATCTATCTATCTATCTATCTATCTATCTATTGTCTGTCTGTCTGTCTGTCTGTCTGTCTGTCTGTCTATCTATCTATCTATTTATCGTCTGTCTGTTTGTCTATCTATCTATCATCTGTCTGTCTGTCTGTCTGTCTGTCTATCTATCTATCGTCTGTCTGTCTGTTTGTCTGTCTGTCTGTCTGTCTGTCTGTCTATCTATCGATGTATCCATCGACCCATTTACCCATCTACCCATCCATCTATCCGTCTATCCATCTATCCGTCTATCTATCTATCTATCTATCTATCTATCTATCTATCTATCTATCTATCTATCTATCTATCTATCTATCTATCTATCTATCTATCTATCTATCTATCTATCTATCTATCTATCTATCTATCTATCTATCTATCTATCTATCTATCTGTCTGTCTGTCTGTCTGTCTGTCTGTCTGTCTGTCTGTCTGTCTGTCTGTCTGTCTGTCTGTCTATCTATCTATCTATCTATATCTAGCTCTGTCTGTCACGTGTCAAATCTCTTAAGTACATCACTGTTGAGAACCAAATTAATGTACAACAAAAAGCATTAAAATTGAAGTCTCCTGCAGGGAATTCTGTAAATTGAAATTAATTTATTGTTATTCACCATTTTTATTAAGGCAACTTACTTTAATCCAGGTTACAGATTTGACTATACTACTTGTAGTTTCTTTCCCTGTTAAAATCAATGCCGCGCTTCACATTCTACAAGAAAAGCAATCAAATGTGATGATTAGCGATATCTTGCTACTGTTTTTGATCAATATACACATTATATCATAATGAAAGTTTCTATTTTAATGATCAACTGTTTCAAACTGTTACAATCATTTTCCGTAGGTTATCCAGATCGAACCCCAAACCCTGTCATTCCCAAAAGACAGGCAGCACCACCACCACGACCAGCCAAGATCATCCCGTTTGGGAAAAACACAGTAATACACCTGAATTATTCCAATATCTGTATCTTAACTTAATGATCAGTCACTTCATCATAAATAACCTCATAATTGTGTGTATTATTGGGTGCAGAAGCCAGAGTCGCCTCAAGACCAAGAGGAGTTTTACATCGATCCCAATGATGGCAAACGTGAGTCTCCAAACAAGCTCGTGAATTACAGTTTTTCTCAGTGGCGTTGGTTCATTTCTCAAATCAGAATTGAAATGTGTAAAACAGTAAGTGCATTTCTCAAAACAACGTGTACAAATAGCAAAACCCCATGGATTACCCGCAAAAGCCAGTATTCAATATTGAATACTGACTGAATATAAATGAATGAATATATGAGCATTTATGTGAAGTTAAGTATTTTACTCATGTAATTTGTTATTAGGATTTTACCAAGTACAGGCAGTTTCTGTGTCACGGTCGTGGTTAGGGAAAAGAGCGAGGACTAATTACAGTTTTTCTCGATTGCTTGGATGCAGTTGTCAACTGAAACTCCACATTTTCAAAACAGTTAACACACAGGCCTAAACAGCGCCACTCATGGTCAAAATGACACATTTTGCTTGCAAAAGGCACATATCGTGTCAAAACATTTAACATATGCAACAAAAGCTAGTTTTACCTAACTACACAACTTGCAAACAAGTATATGAGCTCTTTCAATTAATCATTACACAATGGACAACAAAATACAAAATACAGAACTCAAAATGCACCACCATTGCTTGCCATTGTAGCTTATAGCCAATGGCATTTGTTGTCTCTATTTGGGCTGTCAAATTCGCCTTTTTGCAAAGAATTGGATCGAGAATAAGATGTGCTTTGATTGAATATATATTGAATTCATGACATTTTTCAAACTGTGGCTGAAAACTGAAATACTGTATATAAAAAAAACAGACAAAAGTAATAAAATACTGTAAATATTAGAGAAAACACATGTAAACTAATATACAGTCAAATCTATTGGGAGTATAGGACATAGCCATACTGACCTCCTCCATCAATGCTGGCACAGAACAACACAGACCTTCCATCGTTTATATAAGGTTTGCAGACTGATGGCTAATTGAAGATTTGTGTGAAGGAGTGTCAAACCGGTGCTTCAGTGATTTCATACTGATGTTGGTAGTTTTTAATAGTTAGGAATAGATGGATTCTGTTTGGTTACCAAAACTAAAACAATGTAGTTTGGACTGCTTGAATGACATCTGTGTTGACTGTTTGGAAAAATGGTGGGGAAAATGTGTCAACCCAATGAGAAAGGCTTTACACATTTGCAAGACCTGTCCTCTGCTCTGCTGGGATAGTGATAATGAAAATGAAGAGGAACCTAGTTTCTTTAACCAGGTCAAAGCAAACTAGAAAAACTGTAATAATGGGTTTTTATTAATAATATAATTAAAATAAAAGGCAAAACGAAACTACCCCGAGGGGGAAAACATTAACAAAACACACAAACTTGGCTGGCAAGACAAGACTGGAGCAGGAACACAGGGGAGTGTAGACGACAAACTGGCACAGAACAGAAGACATGAGGAGATTATGAGCAGGTGAAAATTCACACAAACAGGTGAACACAATTAACTAATAATGGATTAACAAGCGGGGTGGGACTAGACAATAGACGGGAGAGCGCATGACAGAGACAAGACAAGCCATGCGCTCACATAAAACAGGACAAGAACATGCAGCCAATGAGAGAACACATTAACCACATGTTCATGACAACACAAGCACAACACTGAAGCACACCACAAAAGCACGTGACCACAACATAAACACCGAGCCACGTGCTTTGACAAGAGACGCAAGACACGAGCACATGATAGGTAAAAACACCTCACCGTGCGCTCACACATATGCAACGCGCATGCTTCATCTCAGCGCCAACCAATACTGAAACCAACTAGACGGAGGCGCCAAGAATGAAGCAGCGCGATGCTGACAGAACAAACACAAACACTAGAACAAATCTGCACACAGAGGCACTCGAAGACAGAAACAGGACAAGACAGCTAGTGCCCGGGCTCTGCCACCAAAACAAGAATTTACAAGACCAGAGTAGCAGAACCCTGACACTGTGTGGTTGCTTGAGGAAATCAATGAAATGTTGTATCCTGTGTCTGCAGCTCCTGAGGTGGTTCGTCAAGATAAACCTGGTAAAAAAGGCCCACCTAAAAGACCCCCAATAAAACCCCCACCGGTCCCTCAACAAGATGAAGGTCATTTTTAAAAACTATTTAGCAAACAATAACATTTGCATATTAATTTGCATAAATGATGACCCATTAAGCCCTGTATTCTGTACCTTACTGTACTCTCTGACTTTCCAGATGTTTACCTGGACCCAAATGAAGGGCAGGTATGATTCAGCCTGGTTATGATTATTCAATATTTTATTTGTAAAGCCCTTTTCACACTCATGATTGTTTTAAAGCAGCTTTACAAAAGGTGAACATTATTGCATTACAGTCAAATTCAGAAACGTGAAGGTTATTAGTTACTATAACTTTATTAGTCATTCTTAACTGTAATTAACTTATTACTAATAACTTTATCAGTTTAAGTTCTGATATATAAACATAGTTAACCTGCAGTTATATAGTATAGATGATGTCCATGTGTAGATGTTCAATGAGGTGTGTATTAAGTGTAATATGAATAAAATATGATAATTTTCATTTTACTCTATTTTTGTTTACATTAGGGTGATGATGAGGATGATACGTATCTGGAACCTGTAGCAGGTCAGTGCTTAAATTATTTTGAGCTTTACAGTAGGCTAACTATTGTCTAATATTGATTGTTTTTCTTTTCATTTGTTTTCCAGATCCTCTTGCTCCTCGAAACCCGATGCGTATACCCCTGCCATCTATAACTGCAGGACGAGACCCTTCGCAGATGATGTACGCATGTTATAATCAGGGGTTATTAGTTTATAACAAATATGAGTTATTATCATAAATTAAAACAAAACAACAAAAAATTTAATTTAATTTAATTTAATTTAATTTACCTGTGCTTTGCATTGATTTAATTTAATTTAATTTGCTTTACTTTTATTTGCGTTGCATTGCTTTGCTTTTCAATTTAATTTAATTTAATTTCTGCAGGGTATTCTGACAATAAGCTATTACAAAGAATAAACAATTCACCAGTTAGAATTCTTAGAATAAAATTGGAAAAATTTATTATATTTTATTTTTAATTTAATTTAATTTTATTTAATTTTATTTTATTTTATTTTAAATAAAATTATATATAATATATTTAATTTATGTTAAACCCAATTTGCTTTGGGTTGTTTTAATTTGCTTTTTAATTTAATTAGCTTTTTAATTTAATTTAATTTAATTTAATTTATGCAGGGAATTCTGACATTAAGCTGTCACAAAGAGAAAACAAATCTTTTGTATTTAATTGTATTTATTGTATTTTATTTTTAATTTAATTTTATTTTATTTTATTTTAAATATAATTATATATAATATATTTTAATTTATTTTAAACCCAATTTGCTTTGGGTTGTTTTAATTTGCTTTTTAATTTAATTTGCTTTTTAATTTAATTTAATTTAATTTAATTTAATTTAATTTAATTTAATTTAATTTAATTTAATTTCTGCAGGGAATTCTGACAATAAGCTGTCACAAAGAGAAAACAAATCACCAATTAGAATTCTTAGAATAAAATTGGAAAAATGAACTGTATTTTATTTTAATTAAACTTTTTATTTTATTCTTAATTTTAAAATACATTTAATTTAATTTAATAATACGGTGTTACAAAGAGAAAACAAATCACCAATTAGAATTCTTAATATACAATTTTAAGATTTGATTTGATTTGATTTTGTCTTATTAGTTTAATTTAATTTAGTTTAATTTAACATTTTTAATTTATTTTATTTTATTATACACACAAAAAATAATATTTATCAGTCTTGCATTTTTCAGTTTTATTATTAAAATTCTAACAATGTAAAAAGAAAAATCAAAAGTTAGTAGCAGTTCCAGAACACTCAAAAAATGCTGGGTAGTTTGTTGGAGAAACCCAACAGTTGGTTTAAATAAATTTCAACTAATATAATAATACAATGTTTTAACTTAAAAACTACAACTAACTTAAAAAAAACTACAACTTAAAAAAAACAACTACAATTTAACTTAAAAACTACAATTCAACCTAGCACTTACTTAATTACAATTTGACCTTGCACTTTTAGTGTTGCTGATGCAGTTTCTTGTTGTCTTACAGGATGAAACCGTCTGTTCCCAGACCCAAATCTGTAAGTTGTAGTTTGACATTCACTCACAGACACACATATGTTCATTACAGTGAAAAAACTGAGTCATTTGCTGTTTTTCCTCAGAGTTCATCCCTGATCAGTGGTGCTGTGAACAAAGGTTGGTGAGTTTATTCTTTTAAGGTGCCATAGAGTCCTAGGAAATAGTCAAATAAATAAATAGTCCTAAAAAACATGTGAGAAAATAAAAAAGTGTACATATATTGAAGTAACGGTACACTAAAAAATGCCGGGTTACTTCAACCCAGTCTGGGTGTAAATGGGACTAACTCAACTGCTGGGTTAATTCTTAAATTCAAGTTAGTAGGAATAAGTTTAACCCAATGTTTGAGTTAGTCCATATATTAAAAATGAAAATAACCCGGCATTTGTAGAGTGTATAACAGAAAACTTTACGGGTTTTAAAACCTTGACGCTTTCAAACCACAGTAAACATTGAGAAAGGTTATCGACTCTTGACTATTTTATTACTAAACCGTGCTTTTTTTGAGAGGGGTCTGGATGCTAACCTGCAGTGTGATCTGAGCTGCATCCAACGCTTTTTAATGTGCTCACCACCCCTAACCCTGCCCCTCACAGTGACATCACTAGCTCCATTAGCCGCATTTCCACTGTCGGGCCAGGGCTTTTATCGGGCCGGGCCAATTTTAGGTTGTGCAGTGAGGATGAAACCATGTCACGTTTCCACTGTCAGGCTAGTAGCTCTCAGCGCATCACGCAAACCCCGCCCCCAGAACGTCCCTAGAATCAAACGTCACACAACCTGCCCACTCCAGCGGGAATCAGGCAGATAAAGCACACCATCACATCATCACGAGAGCATTAAAATGAAGACAACTGAAACAAACAGATGACATGTTACTGTACAGCAGTACATTATATGTCTATTTGCACAGGCCTGTGTGTTTCCAATCATTAGGCTGGCTTGTGTAGCAAGCCAGACTACTGTTATCCTATTTTTCTTCTGTGACTAAAAAACAAAACGCATCTCCTCCTAGAGCTTTCGAGCTATGACCACCAAACTCACACCAAACCTTCAAACTGGTCTGACTCGGTGTGCTATATCTTTTCCAACTGATCCGACTTTCGGTTTTCTAAAAAACGTCCCGGGACCGTTGGAAAAATCCCATTGACTTAACATTGGACCAGACTTTGTGACCTCATAACTCTGCATCAGACTGTCACACAGACTTCTAACTGGGCTCATTTAATTCAGACTACCTAACTGCCAATACCTGATGAGCTTTTAACTTTCTGGCCACACCCTAGTAACCACTTTTGGGACCCTAGAAACTGTCCCATAGACTTCCATTCAAAAGACTGTCATTGACTTTACATTGGATCAAACTTTGTGAGCTCATAACTCTGCATCAGACTCTCCTACAGACTAATGGCTGAGCTCATTTAACTCAGATAACCAGACTACCAATAACTGACAAGCTTTTAACTTTCTAGCCACTCCCTAACAACCAGATACTGCACCCTAGCCACTGTCCCATAGACTGCCATTATAGAGGCCCAGATTGATATCGTCATGCTGTAGTGTTATAGCAACATGCTAATAATGATTAGCTAAGTACTTTAACATTCTAGAAATGCTTAATATCTATCTATCTATCTATCTATCTATCTATCTATCTATCTATCTATCTATCTATCTATCTATTCATACTTTTTAAAAATGTTTAAACTAAATAAATTATTATTAACAGGCTTTCACAAGCCAGCCTCAAAGTTTGTCTCGACAAACTTTAATAATCTAGTTACATTTATTTACTCACCGGCCGACTGTTGGCATCGTGCATGGAGTGGTCTCGCCACTAACAGAGGGAATAAAGCTCTACAATTAAAGTTTCATTTATAAATTTTACCACGTCATATAAAAACATAAGCACTTGTTTGAGGACACAGAACACATTTTGTGTTAGCAGTTTCCCCGATGTGTTTAAAGCAGCGCTTCATGGGACTGAAAAAAAGGTAGGCTAGTTTCTGCTTTCACTCACCTAAAAATGCTCTGTTTGCACGATTTGATTAATATCATCGTATCCAAATACTTTATCGATAATATTATAAACCTCCTCCGGTGTTTATTGTTTTTAGAATAGATTTAAAATCTTTTTTTAGAGAGATCTTAGTAAAATGAAAGCTATATATCGTCACCTTAGAATTATAAGGTTCTATCTGACATTTTTGTCAAAATTGAGTTATTGACATATCCTTATTAAATGACAACTTATTTACGTTGTGCTTTTATTTTTAATAAGTTGTTTATATTTTAAGCCTTTTTATTTAAAAAACAAAAACAATTTATCTAGAAAGTTGAGCTCTAGCTTGGCTCTAAAAGGTTCTTTCTGTGAGCCAATCAGCATTTTAATGCACGCACAAGGACCAATCAGGACCAGCTTTCCTTGTCATTTGCCGGAATGCTCCATTGACAGCGGGAAACACAAGAAAGACAAAATCACACAAAATCAAAGACGGCTAAATAATGCCACACCACACAAAATTGAGATGTGTGTAAATGTGATGATTTAGAAGCATTTTTTGACATTGAGATTAAATTTTAAATTATACATTGTTAAAAAAGAAACAAAATATTTTTTTAAATTATATATTAAATGTGAAATATTTTTATTTGTGTGTATATAGTCAGTGAAAAACTTTTCAGTGTTTATTAAACTCATTTGCTCATAGTCTGTTTGCTTTTAAAGTCTTTAAATTTAATATTAAACCTTAAAGGGCAAATACTTGATTTAATTCATGGGGCATATAATTCAATAAATATATTTCAATAATTTATATAATGCATAAAGTTTAATAATTATGACCATAATAATTACATAAAATTTACATCTGCGCTGGATAAAATATTTAGCACAGCCTTGTATGGTAAACTTGAACAAGTAAAAATATTCATCCTACAACATTAAATAAATGATATAGAAAGCACAAATGTTACTTCTTCAAGCCTCAACATATTATTACAACACCAAACTATATATATTTTTTTTTATTGTATTTATTGAAAGTTAGCAAATGTAAGATAACTTTGATAATTTACATTTAGAGTACCTTTAGGGTCTCTGTCATGTTAATGGATGAAAGAGAACTGTTACACACATATTGTTTGCTATATGGATTGCAAAAACTTTGAAGCTCAGTATCTCAAAATTATTCAGAATGCAGAGAGAACCTTATAATTCTAAGGTGACGATATGGCCTAAAACAGTTTCATTTATGTATTGTATATACCTACATTGTTATAGCTTTTTTTTGTATTGGTTTATTTACTTATTGTGATTTTTATTATATCCGATATTTGAAAATTCTTTAAATTATTTCAATATAGCTGCTATTTTATCTAGAAATGACACTATTGTTGTGTTCATATTTTGCATTATCTCCAAAATAAATAAAAAAAGAAAAAAGCCGCTCGGGCCATCAACAGAGCTGTGAAGCAAGCGCTCTTTCGGCCGGCCTCACACACACACACACACACACATACACACACACACATACACACACACATACACACACACACACACACATACACACACACACACAGGCATCACAACGTGCACTTATCACGCAGTTATACATTTTTAAAAGCCATTTTAAGGTCAAAATTATTAGCCCCTTTAAGCTATATTTTTGTTTTTTCGATAGTCTACAGAACAAACCATCGTTAAATAACTTGCCTAATTACCCTAACCTGCCTAGTTACCCTAATTAACCTAGTTAAGCCTTTAAATATCACTTTAAGCTAAATACTAGTATCTTAAAAATATCAGGTAAAATATTATGTGCTGTCATCATGACAAAGAGAAAATAAATCAGTTATTAGAGATGAGTTATTAAAACTGTTATGTTTAGAAATGTGTTGAGAAAAATCTTTCCGATAAGTTAAGTTTAATTTTCGAAGTTTCAAATTTTGAGAGGATCACGTGCTTATGATTGTTCTCAGCTGTTCCAGCATCAGCTCATGATCGAATATCCAATAAGATGATTCCTAACTCACTATAAATAACCAGTTTCCTTATCTTAACTACTTCGTTTTAACACACCTTTATTAAGATTATTATGCGTTATTGAAGAATTAAGGAGGACGCGGCAAAGAAAAATCACTTATAAATTAAAACTTCATTATTTTATGCAACAGCCTTGCATTTAAAAGGAAAACATGAGGGCGATCATAAGCAAAAACACCCCTATCCTATAAGGTGTTTTATGGAATAGCCTATCATTAAACTGACCAGCTATATGTTTTCTTTCCCTTATTTGTTTGCTGCGTGTACTCGTGTGCGATCGGAACACTAGTGTAATGACGGCACGCCATCTTTAACAGACTCTGGCAAAGTCTGCCTCTCCTTTCACTCCATTCCGAAGTCCAGCTGGCCCTATTTGGTCCAAGGTATTTGGCTGGCCGAAAAAGGCCGGCCGCTGGCCTCAAGAAAGCCCCGCTTTGGCCTGATTAGCCCCCGGAAGTGACAGTGGAAACACGACTGGCCTTGGCTCACCCTGGCTCACTCGCTTTAGGCGCGAGAGTGGAAATGCGGCTATTGAGTGCATTGTGTCTGACAGTCTCAGCTTGCATCTTCAAGGCTGCATGCAGACACGATTGGCTATTTCTTAACACCCCTGATGTAGATTACATGAGCCACGTGTATTTCTTCATTTGACGGTTTCTCTTATTGTTTAGTTCTCCCTACAGAAGTGAAACGCCCCTCACTTTCAGGCCCGCTACCTCCACCCACACCAAACAGCAAACCAGTTCTCCCAATCATCATGCCCAAAGAGCCCAAACCCAGGTATGTTACCTCTCAATGGAATCGGAAAAGGTTTGGTTATATTTTCTTCCAAATTTATGAAGGATTTCATACCTCTTTTGGATGCAGTAGGGTTGTGCAATATGATCACATACATTTAAATGCTAGATTATTCACTGTGACATTTAAATTCTTTTACAAATATTTCACAAGAGGAAGAAGATTTTTACAGCATTTCCTATAATATTTTATCAATAAAAGCAAAAAGATGTAAGTTGGGCTAATAATTTAAAATATATTTAACAGAATATTGTATGGACAAAATAAAAAGTTTATTGTTTCTTATTATTGTCTACTATTAATTCATTGAATTAATATTATGAATTTAATTTAATTGTATGATTGGATTTTTGTTTCATATTGCCCAGGCATTGTCTTTAAAATAATATCTCCAAATTTGCCTGGTCCTCCAAAGTTCACTGTAAATTAATAATAATAATAATAAAAAAATCATTAAAACATACAGAACAATGTTCAACCCAGGCTCATTCTGAAAACGTAGTCCCAAGGACGTTTCTGGAGACCACGAAATACGTGCCAGGAGTGTGTATGTATGGCTGCATTTGTTTTTTTAAGCCAATGCTATGGAGCGGTATGACGCCGTTCCCTTTCGCGCTTACCGGCTGACCGCTTACCTCCATGTGGAGGGCTTTACCGCCCCAATCAGTTTGTCCAGTCAGCTCATCGTGTATGTCGGCAGACTTTCAGATTCATAGAGAGGAGGGGTTGACCACGGCGACCGGGTTCGAGTCCGGCAAATCAGGTAAGACAAAAACAGAAAAAATAAAGCAAACGACTTCATAACAGGGTGAAAACCTGGCGAAATCAGAAAACGTGGTTAAATTTTTTTTTTAAAAATCAGACGAGGGCTTTTCATTCATGGATGGTTTTTGTGAATTGTTGGTTGAGTTAAGGGAAGTGAGTGGGTGGGCGGGCGGGTTGACCGGTAAAATCGGTTGGGTTTTAGGGAAGCAGGAGACCGGGTGGGTCAGCCGATTGGCCGGTCGCACAGTCAGTCATTCAGTCAGTTAGACAGACAGACAGTGGCCTCTGGAGGGTTCACACGAGAACGGCGCGGGCGCGAGAACGGCGCTCCCTAGACGTGCTTGAGAATCACGCCTCTCGCGGATTCGCGAAAACAAAAACTGCAGCCATATGTACCTCCTGGCACGTATTTCGCGGTCTCCAGAAACGTCCATGGGACTACGTTTTCAGAATGAGCCTGGGTTGACAATGTTAGAATGCCTTTATTATGTGGCGTTCCATGCATGCTGAAAATATATTCACACACAAAAGATTTTACTTATGCAAGTGTTGTTTTAGTGTTAATGATATACTATCATAGCTTTTAAGTTTTTTTTATTTATTTTAAAATTTTATTTAGATTTGATATTTTTTTATTGTATTTAAGTGATTAATTTATACCAAATAAAAAAAATATATATTTTTTTAATGTTTGTATAGCTTTTATTTTCTTTTATTTACTTAAACATGGGGTCTAATAATTCTGACTTTAACTGTAAATATAAAATGCCGGGTTTTTAGTTCATTCCTGACAATTAGTATAATTTCTGTTATTATTAGTAGTAGTATTACGTATTATATGCATATTTGAATCAGGTTTGGATTTTTTTGCGTCACCATTTGAGAACAGGAAGTGTGTTTGGGTTTTTTTGACCACACTTTGTTATTATTGTTCATTTATTCGTATTCTGGAAATTAGAACTGAACTTAAAAATAGTTTTGAAGCACTTCTTTGTGCTTAACAAATGAAATTAAATATGTAGGCAGATGGATGTGTTCAGTTGAGTGAGTTTCCACTGTTTCCTCACTCCGCCAATGTAAAGGAGCAAAGAGTAGAAGTAAAGTAAAGAGAAAGTAAAGAGGCTAAATGAAGGAGGCTCGTTCTATATCCTCGCGCTGCAGATGCTCTGTTTAACTGTTTTCTTTCTAGTAAAACGTTCAGTTTTTACACTTACAGAGTCCACCATGTAAATAGCAAATGCACCATGGAGCGACTCATAAAGGGAATGTGAGATGAGACTCTGACTGGTTCAATGCAGGTTATGCTCAAAACACACCCAGAACTCATTAAGAGAATAAGCACAACCCTGTTAGACCATGCACCAGGGCGCAGAGTGTATTTTTCAGTCTTTAAAATAGCAAAAGCGGATTCAGACACTGCCAGACACGGCCTTAATGCTTTTGAGCCATGTTCTTTAGACATTGCACCTAGATCGTTAATATAGAGCCCAATAAATCTAAATCTGTTTAGGTTTTTTTTTTAAAAGTCACATCTTTTAAAGCATGAATAAGCAAACATTTGTATAGATAATTAGCATAAAATGTTTTTACGTACAAATCAGTAATATTTAAAAATCTTACACACTTAAATATATATATACTTGTTCTGTTTCCAGTCCCCCTACTCCTCCATCTCTGGACAGCACAGGTCAGCACAGGTCTTTTATCATTCATATTTATCCTAGAATTTCCTGATCAGTCTTTTTCTGATTGAGTCCTGCTCTTTCCTCATTCAGCTCTCTCTTTTGGAGCAAAGCTGGTCGCACAGGTAAACACTACAGACATGCTCAGAGTTTAACATGACAAACTGCCAAAGCTTCATTCAGGATCTGATTGGCTGATGGTTTTGTTAATATTCAGGAGGCGGGGCTACAGGACAAAGACTGGTTTGCTGGAGATTGTGACCGTAAGACTGCTGAGGAAACTGTGCTCCGGATGAACAAGGTTTGTGTGCGTTTATGTGTGATTTGTTTTTTTTTTTTGTATTGTCATGCTTATCCCTATTTGGAAGTGTTTAGTCGAGGTATACTTTTCAGAATTAAAATGTGTATATATACATTTGGTGACACGGTGGCTCAGTGGTTAGCACTGTGGCCTCACAGCAAGAAGGTCACTGGTTCGAGTCCTGGCTGGGTCGCTTGGCATATCTGTTTGGAGTTTGCATGTTCTCCCCGTGTTGGCGTGGGTTTCCTCCGGGTGCTTTGGTTTTCCCCACAGTGCAAAGACATGTGTAATATGGTGTAGGAGTCCATCTATTAGCTCAATGACGAAACTAACAGCATGGTCGAAGGTTTAATGCATGTAAGCCTTTTCTAGTGCTTCTGAAAAGAATTTTATTATTTATTAGAATTTATTTATATTAGTTTTTTAGCTCCGAATTCAATCTGACTCCAATTTCAATGATCCTAAAATGTAAATTATATTTCTAATTGTAAGAACGGATCACATTCATCATTTATGATTTAATTTAGAGTTCTGATATTTTCTGAGGTCCGATATTATAAGTTGTACGTTCATTAGGGCCCTACGTCGCTCAGAGTTCCACGCCCCGGGTTTGCATTTCTTCTCACGGACAATATGTCTGCACTCTGAAAATAGTCAGAGGATGCAGGATTAACTAATATTTAGATAGGCTGGTTGCATTAACGCTCACCTAATTTCCTAAATAAACAGATTTTAGCCAAGCCCGTGCAACTTGCTATTACCAGTGGTCGAATGATTAAAAGGTCTACATGTTATCGGCACGCAATGGCTACGAATAATCAAATGCGCCAATTAATCAATTTCGATTATGCCGTACGATAAGGGTAACGAGACTCCACATAATCTACTGGATAAAATGAATTCGCAAAACTCCAGAATTAATCAAAACTTAACATTTTATTTGTCAGGTAAAATTGTATTCTGCCAATTACATAATAAATCATCAGGAAGCCAATTCAGAGATGAGACTGTAATAATACAACATCTATTAATCAAAGATAAATCAAAGAATTATAGATGCATACCTGACCAGAGAAGTACATTGCAGCATAAGTCTCAGAGATGCTGCAATGGGGTGTCTTTTTACAAGATCTCCCCCCGTCCTAAAGCACATCTTACCTTATATACTCAAGTCAAAACAAACAGCCATAAATTCAAGACAATAGAAGTTTCACAGAAACCCTGGCCTGGTCAATTTGAGGACTTAACCATCTCTTAGGAGGGAGAGCATCTTATCAAGATCTTATAGAAGTCAAAAACCAAATCAACATATACCAGTAAAATATTACTGTAAAATTAAGACCACTTTACCAATCACACAGAGACATTTAAAATGATACCAAACATGAATATAGTGCTGCAAGATACATCATATTAAAACCTTGAACATTTTATGTGAAATGTGCTCTAATCAGAAGGTGACATAAGGGTCAAGAAGGGGGGTTTAAGTGGAAGGAGAAGGGTGACTTCTTCGCATTACCCCCTGCTGTTGAGTAGCTCTGTTTCTCCAGCCTGTGTTTGCATTGTCAACAGTGATTTGAATAGAACAGTGGAACAGTTGGTTTCTTCATCACTTCTCAGATTAGAAAATGCATTGGAACATTGCATCTTGTCTCATGAAATTCCATAACAGTTCTTATGGTCTGATATTTTGGATCCTTACAATGGGAATTGAACAGACTAAATTGGCTGTAGTGTATGTGTGTGAATGTAATGCCGAGTTCAGACTGCATGATTTTCAAAGTAGTCATGTCACAGATGTTTTCACACTGCATGACTATCTGGGCTGGCGTTTCGTCGCTGCTTTGTTTACACTGCAAGATGGATCGGTGACAGGGGCTTTCACACTGCATGACTTTACAATAGGAAGAATCGCCGACAACTTTGTCCAAACTACATCTCACAGCCAAAAACATGTCGTATATCCTTTGTTTTTAACTACATAATGAGAAAGAAGCCTTTAATGGGGTGGAAAATGTACATATTTGCTCACCTGGGTTTGAAGGGAATTAGCAATTTCTCCCTAACTTTCTTTTTTGATGCTATTGTGATATTGCTCACATAACACATCAAACCGACACGGGTGCTCCTGCCAAATTTACACTAGTTTTTCTTCCATTTCTTGGGTCTTAATAAACTGAAAATGAGCACTTTTAACTTCTCCCTCAACCTCCCGCTGGCCTGCAGGTACACACACTAGTCTGGTGGATGCTGCTCTCTCATTGGCTGTAGGCGATCGCTGATGTTATTGTCAGTCAAAACTCATTTCACACGGCATGATTTGAATCGCCGACAACTACAGGTATTCAGCACGTCAAATATCTCACAGGAATCAGATCACGTCTTGATAGATCACATTGTGAGATTGTTACTCGCCTGCACGAGCACCGATTTGCCTGTGATTTCAGACAATTGTCTGTGATTTCTCAAAACCTGTCGGCGAGTCAAAATCGGGGCTAAAATCACTCAGTCTGAACTCGGCATAAGGGTGTATGGGTGTTTCCCAGTACTGTGTTGCGGCTGGAAGGGCATGCCCTGCGTAAAACATATGCTGGAATATATGGTGGTTCATTCCTCTGTTGTGACCCCTGATAAATAAGAATTTAAGCCAAAGGAAAATGAATGAATGAAAAAGAAAATAAAAAGCATTAAAGTAAATTAAAATGAATATAAAGAAATAAAAAAATATGCATTATATAAATATAGATATAAAATGAAGTTAATTCTCTTTGGAATGATTCATAAAACATATATAAATAATAAAAATATATATAAATATATGAAAGAAAAGAAAATATAGGAAATAAAATTACATTAAATATGAAGTGCAATGAAACTTAAGTTACAATATAGATATAAAACAAAGATTATCCACTTTGGTTTAGTGGTTTAGTGGAGTCATATTGTTTTGAAACTATACAATTGTTTTTTAAAGGATCAAATGATTTTTTAAAATATAAAATGTTTATGCTGGACTTGGGAATGTTCAGTTGAGTCATATTGTTCTGATCATATTTATATTGTCATATGTTAGCAATAAGACAAAATAAACGATTGCATCTAAACTAGAAGTGTGTATTTACATAAGGTATGTGTACTCACTGTGTATAAATATTGTGTGTATTCTGTATATAATGTAAAGAAAAAAATATATATGTATAGAAAATACAAAAACAATTACAAAACTAAAGTGTTTATATGCATATTTATTTATATTTATGTATATATAGATATACATGTTTTATTCATAAATAAAATTCATTTATTAATTTATTTATATATATATATATATATATATAAATACAGTTGAAGTCAGAACTATTAGCCCCCCTGTATTATTAGCTCCCCTGTTTATTTTTTCCCCAATTTCTGTTTAATGGAGGGAAGATTGTTTTAGCACATTTATAAGCATAATAGTTTTAATAACTCATCTCTGATAACTGATTTTTTTATCTTAGCCATGATGACAGTAAATAATATTTTACTTGATATTTTTCAAGACACTTCTATTCAGCTTAAAGTGACATTTAAAGGCTTAACTAGAGTAATTAGGTTAACTAGGCAGGTTAGGGTAATTAGGCAAGTAATTGTTTAATGATGGTTTGTTCTGTAGACTATCGGGAAAAAAAATAGCTTAAAGGGGCTAAAAAATTTTGTCCCAAAAATGTTTTTTTTTACAATTAATAACTACTTTTATTCTAGTCGAAATAAAACAAATAAGACTTTCTCCAGAAGAAAAAATATTATCAGACATACTGTAAAAATGTCATTGCTCTGTTAAACATCATTTGGGAAATATTTAAAAAAGAAAATCAAAATCAAAATCAAAAGGGGTTAATTATTCTGACTTCAACTGTATATTTGTATTGTAGCCAGTTTAGACTATGTTTACTGAAATATGTTTGTCTCTTTGCTCTGTCATCTTTCAGGACGGCACGTTTCTTGTCAGATTCAGTAATTCTCAGAACTCTCAGCCGTACACGCTGGTGGTGCTTTACCATCAGAATGTTTACAACATCCCGGTGCGCTTTCTGGAGGATTCACAGCAGTATGTGCTGGGCAAAGGGGGCAAGAAGAGTGAAGAGGTATCTTCTTATTATTTGCTTTCACTTTACATGTCAATATGATAGAAAGAAAAATAATAATAAAAGAGGATGTGTTCAATTAAAAGAAATATTAAGTATACATGAAAATGTAGATGCAAAATAAAGTTAATTCTCTTTTTCGAAATTGTTATGTTGAGTCATATTGTTTTGAAATTGAGAAATAAAATAAAAAATACAAAAATATATAAAAATAAAATAAAAATTGTAAGTATATGAAGTGCTCTCATGAAAGAGCATGAAACCTACTAAATTAAAACAACATTTAGAAACCAGACAAATAGTTTCATTAACAGCTTAGTTTAGTTCATGGTAACTGAACCTTTGCTTACCCTAACCACTATTTACAGTATTTGTGGTTTTTACTTTGTAATATTTCTTTAAATGGATACATTTTGTTAAATGACAGCAATAAAATAGTGTTTGTTTGCAAGTCTTGGTGAATTTCTTATAATTTATCTGTCACTACTTGTTTATGTCAACTAATATATACAAATTAATTATAAATCCTAAAATTGTATTATAGTTCCTAAATTTGGCTCGCGGCTTGATGACCATTTAAAAATGTGGGTGCTTTGGCCAAACCAGTTGAGAACGCCTTTGCGTGTGTGTGTGTGTGTGTGTGTATATACACACACACACACACACACACACACACACACACACAACAGTTCTGTCTGGTTCTCGAATCTGTTTGGCTGATAGCCGTGACATATTTAAGTAATATCAGCACCCGTACAGCCTCTTTACCCTTTGTGTATTACTCCGCACACATACAGCCAGCAACAAGCAGAGACAAATTTTACTGCTGTTAGACTGTTGAAGACCTTATTGGTACATTTGTGTGTGTGTGTGTGTGTGTATACATACATACATACATACATACATACATATATATATATATATATATATATATATACACATATACATATATATATATATATATATATATATATACATATACATATATATATATATATATATATATATATATTTATATATATATATTGTAGCGAGGCAGAGGGAAAACACAAACACCGTAGATAATGTTACAAACAATGCCCCGGAGGGTGCCTTTATTTACAAGTGATATTGGGGTGAAAGAGTGCTCTTCTTAAAGGTGCGTGCTCAAGTGCTCCGGGGAGATGGTGAAGGCTGGTGAGAAGTAGAGTGTTGGATCGGCCACGAGCTGGACTCGGCTGTGGGAGAGACAGAGAGAGACAAGCGTTAGCGCAGGGAGTCATGTCAAATGAAGCTCACTTCCTTCTGTGTGGGGCTGGCTTATATCTCTCCCTGGCTGATGAGGTCCAGCTGTGAGCGATCCGAGGTTGATGAGAGATCCAGCTGGTGTGGATTTGTGCCCAGGGCGACGTGGTATTACATGGCTCGCTACAATATATATATATATATATATATATATATATATATATATATATATATATATATATATATATATCATAAATATACAAATGTACCAACAAGGTCTTCATCAGGTCATGTGATATTAAATTAAATTTATATTTGGAGAGCTAAAGCCGTTTTTTGTACTTTTTTATTATGTTTGCCTTGATCGAGCTTCTGCTTTTAAGATTTTCCAATAGTGTGTGAACACAGCAAAGTGTTTTGTGTTTACATATATATGACAGACACTTTTATCCAAATTGACTTATATTAGATTCCAGCAATACTTTTTTCTTTCTTTCATGCATTCTCTGAGAATCAAACCCCAGACATTAGTGTTACGAGCTTCATGCTTTGCTGTTTGAGCTCATCCTAAAGCACATTTAATATACTGCAAATGAATCATTGCAAATGTATCTAATTTAACAATGTGACTATTTTCATGGACATTGTTGGAATGCTCTGCATTTTGGCTTAAGCTCAGCCTCATGTGACCACAAAATCTCTTTCCTCATTACAGCTGGAGGAGTTTATGATTTTTGGCAAACTTTTGAAATACTTTTTAGAAAAATGCTCCTGAAGTAAATCAGTTATCATGATAGTTATAATGATAATTATTTGCTTTTTTTGTCCTTTTTAGTTTTATATTGTTTTTAGCTTAATTTTTTAGCAAATTTTTGCTTTTCATTTTTATTTTAGTATGAATTATTTCAGGTAGTTTTTACTTTTAAAATGTTTAAATGCTCCTGAAATTAATAGTTAAAATAATATTTATAATGATTATAATGATATATCACTTTTTTTTGTATTTTAAAACATTTACTTTGAGCAGCATGGTGGCTCAGTGGTTAGCACTGTCGCCTCACAGCAAGAAGGTCTCTGGTTTGAGCCCTGGCTGGCCCATTTGGCATTTCTGTGTGGAGTTTGCATGTTCTCCTCGCATTGGCATGGGTTTCCTCTGGGTGCTTCGGTTTCCCCCACAGTCCAAACACATGCGCTATAGGGGAATTGATTAACTAAATTGGCCGTAGTGTATATGAGAGTGTATATGGGTGTTTCAGTACTGGGTTGTGGCTGGAAGGGCATCTACTCCATAAAACATATACTGGAATACATTCATTCATTCATTTTCTTGTCGGCTTTGTCCATTTATTAATCCCTGGTCACCACAGGGGAATGAACCGCCAACTTAACCAGCAAGTTTTTTACGCAGCGACTGCCCTTCCAGCCGCAACCCATCTCTAGGAAGCATTCACACACACACACATACACTACGGACAATTTAGCCTACCCAATTCACCTGTACCGCATGTCTTTGGACTGTGGGGAAAACCGGAGCACCTGGAGGAAACCCACACAAATGCAGGGAGAACATGCAAACTCCACACAGAAACTCCAACTGAGCCGAGGCTGGAACCAGCGACCTTCTTGCTGTGAGGCAACAGCACTACCTACTGCGCCACTGCTTTGCCTTATACTGGAATAGTTGGCAGTTTATCTTCAAATAAAAAGATTTTTATGTTTTGAAAATAAGTTTATGTAGTTTTGTTTTCACTGTTTTTACTATTTTTAGTTAAGTTATTACGTCGGTTAGTTGCCAACGGAATAATATTTTTAATTAAGCATAACTGAAAGGTTTATTTCAATTATGGTAAGTTCAGTATTGGTATCAGTCCCAGCATCAGTAACAATATCGATACTAGTATCTGTATCAGCATCAGTACTAGTACCAGCATCGTTATTGGTATCGTTGTCCGTATATCACCATTAGAAGCAATATCTATATCGGTATGAGTAGCAGTATCTTTATTGGTATCAGCATCAGTACCAATATTTATATCGGTATCAGTATCTGTATCGGTATCAATATTTGTATCGGTATCAGTATCAAAATCTGTATCAGTACCAGCATCGGTATCTATATCGGTATCAGTAGCAGTGTTTATATTGGTATCAGTAGCTGTTTCTGTATCGATAGCAGTAGCAGTATCTATATTGATATCAGTATCTGTATCGGTATCAAAATCAATATCTGTATCAATACCAATATCTATATTGGTATCAGTATCGGTATCGGTATCTGTATTGGTATCAGTCCCAGCATCAGTAACAATATCGATACTAGTATCTGTATCAGCATCAGTACTAGTGCCAGCATCGTTATTGGTATCGTTGTCCGTATATCACCATTAGAAGCAATATCTATATCGGTATGAGTAGCAGTATCTTTATTGGTATCAGCATCAGTACCAATATTTATATCGGTATCAGTATCTGTATCGGTATCAATATCTGTATCGGTATCAGTATCAAAATCTGTATCAGTACCAGCATCAGTATCTATATCGGTATCAGTAGCAGTGTTTATATTGGTATCAGTAGCTGTTTCTGTATCGATAGCAGTAGCAGTATCTATATTGATATCAGTATCTGTATCGGTATCAAAATCAATATCTGTATCAATACCAATATCTATATTGGTATCAGTATCGGTATCTGTATCGGTATCAGTAGCAGTATCAATATCTGTATCAGTACCAGCATCAGTACCAGTATCTATATTGGTATTCGTAGCAGTATCTGTATCGGTATCAGTAGCAGTATCTTTATTGATATCAGTATCTGAATCGGTATTATTATTGAAATTTATATCAGTACCAGTATCTATATTGGTATCAGTAGCAGTATCTATATTGGTAGCGATATCTGTATCTGTATCATTATGGAAATTTGTTTCAGTACCAGTATCTATATCGGTATCAGTAGCAGTATCTATATTGGTATCGGTAGCAGTATATGCATTGGTATCAGTATCAGCATCAATACCGATATCTGTAACAGTAGCAGTATCTATACAAATGTCAGTATTAATATCGGTGTCAGTATAGGTATCAGTATTGTACCTGTGCTGAAAAAATAGTGTCAAGCATCTCTAGTAAAAATTGATTAGTATCAGCATCAGTGTTGATATCTGTATCAGTGTCAGTATTGGGACCAGTATCGGTACCATTATTTATATCGGTAATACTACCAGTATTAGTATTCATATCAGTATCAGTAGCAGTACAGGTATTGATACCAGTATTGGTGAGTACCAGGAAAATGATATTGGTACTCGTACTCATTCTTGAAAAAATAGAACCAAGCATCCTTAGTTAATCTTGATCACTATCCGTATCAATATCTGTAACTATATCAGTACTGATACCAGTAGCAGTATCTATACAAATATCAGTATTAATATTGGTGTCAGTATAGGTATCAGTATTGTACCAGTGCTAAAAAAATAGTGTCAAGCATCTCTAGTAAACCTTGATCAGTATCAGCATCAGTGTTGATATCTGTATCAGTGTCAGTATTGGGACTAGTATCGGTACCATTATTTATATCGGTATCAGTACCAGTATTAGTATTCACATCAGTATCAGTAGCAGTACAGGTATTGATACCAGTATTGGTGAGTACCAGGAAAATGATATTGGTACTCGTACTCATTCTTGAAAAAATAGTACCAAGCATCCTTAGTTAAACTTGATCACTATCAGTATCGCTATCTCTATCTGTATCAGTATTGATACCATTATTATATCGGTATCAGCACCAGCATTAGCATTGATATCAGTACCAGTATAGGTATTGATACCAGTATCAGTATCAGTGAGTTACAGGAAAACAATATTGGTACTGATTCTTATTCCTGAAAAATAGTACCAAGCATCCCTTGTTAAACTTGATAAGTATCAGTGTCAATGTTTCTATCTGTATCGGTACCAGTATCATTAACATTATTTATATTGATATAAGTACCAGTATCACTATTGATATCAGTATCGAAACGGTGAATACCAGGAAAATAATATAGCTACTCATACTCAGTAAAGTTAAAAAGCATAATAGAGCCCCTTTGATATGTCCAAAATGTTATCGTGATGCTTATGATGATGGTCTGTGTTTTCCAGCTCTTCAGCAGTTTGCAGGAGATGATCTCTCATCACATGATGAACCCAATCCTGCTGATCGACCGCAAGAGTCAAGCCAAACACAGCACTCATCTCTTACACCCCACACGGCCCTAACACACCTGACACAGATATTACACACTCAAACACTTATCCTGCTTAAATTATTTATAATATTATGTGTGTAATGCAGTGGAACAGCTTGTTGTGTGTTCAGTTAATTTTATGTTGGTGGATTGTTTTGATTATGTAGTGTTCATTGGTGTATTATAGTCTAAATAAAGGATTAAACAATGTCACACTTTCTGGCATTTTTTAATCACACAAATATTAAGGTCGGCTTATTGCACTGCTACCTTTATGGTTTGCCAAAGCTATAATAATCTTAATGGGACTTTTTGAAAAAAAAAAGTTGCACCACATGATTTGAATATCATGGTACATTAAAATAATTTTCATATTGCTAAAGTTTCATGGTGTTTATCAGACTGATCCTTGAAGTGCTGATATGCATGCCGCTGTACATGTAAAACAAAAATACACTGTGCTTTTTTAATTAAGAGATTGTGGTTATGAATAATGATATTCATGCATTATGTTACTTGTGGTGCTCATATGTCAAGAAAAACCACAATGGTTTTCTGTTCTGTTTGGTTTAATTAAGTCTAATGTATGCTATGAACTGAACCTATTTAAAACCCCTTTCAATTATGCTTTATTAAAAATATTTTTTAATATTTAAATATTTAATATTTTTTAATATTTTTTAATATTTAATATTCAAATTGAAATATTTAGTTTTTGTTGAAGTACCAAAATAACTACAAATAAAAAACATCTAAACTAAAACCAAAATAAAACAAAATATGTTTATTTAAAATCAACTTAACCTGTTAAATGAAGTTTTAAAATGTTGATATAAAATAAATGTTCAAGGTATTAAAAAATGTTTAATTTAGGTCAGTATTTCTGTGGGTTTTTTTCAGTGTTATTTATTTAATGCTATAATTGAAAAATGCCTAAAACTGGAGTTAAAATGTATAGACACATTTATTAATAGACATATAACAATAAAAAAAAAAAAGAGTATGTTAATTGAAATAAAAGTACACCTCAGGCATATATTCAACTGAGAATATCTTAAACTAAACTAAAACAATAAGATATTGTCAGTCACATCTATTTGATTTACTAAAGATAATTTTCTTTTTTTAAATGTCTATTTAATTTTAATTAATTGAATATAAAATTTAAATAAATAATAAATTAAAACAAATATGTTAGTTATTTTTATTTTTAACAATCTAAGGACTTAAACTAAACTAAAACTATAAGTCCTTAGACTGCTAAAAATAAAAATAACTAAAATATTTGTTTTCATTTATTATTTATTTAAATTTAATATTCAATTAAATAAAATTAAATAGACATTTTAAAAAAGAAAAACATTTTTATTAAATCAAATAAATGTTTAAAAAACATTTAAAATGTTTAATTATATTTTAGGTAACCTAATTATTTGTTGTTTGTAAAAATGTTACTTAGAGTTTCAATTCAATGTTCAATTGACCATAAGTTATTATTAATTTAAAAAGACATTTACAGAGACAGTTGATTGATTGATTGATTTTATTTGACTATTTTAAAAAAATATATACAAACAAGTCCAGTTAGACTAATTCATACATATTTTAAAAACTGTCGAGGATAAAATACACAAAAAAGCCACAGGCTTATTTCCATTGTGGTCCTCTATTCTTAAAAAAATGTACGAGCAAATCATAAATAGAGTGCAAACATCATCAGTTCAGCAACTCGGCACAACAAAATCCTTCAACTGTAAAACAACCACTTTTTAATTTCCTTTCTAAAACCACTCTCAATTTGAATTTCTTTAAAAATCGTGGGCAAAACATTCCTTGCAGCAGAGCTCGTACACAAAAAAAAAAAGAGTTTCTACCTGATTCACTCTTAAATCTAAATGGGTAAATATCCCTGCTACACGCTCTTGTAGAATGACAGTGTACCTCTCTAACTAAAACATAATAATTACTAAAAACTGAACTACACTGTTACAGTTACTATGACCATTTATGTGAAGCTGCTTTCTACATTGTACATTGTAAAAGCGCTATACAAATAAAGCTGAATTGAATTGAATTTAATTGAATAATTAAGAAAATATTTTGGTACCATTTTCTTTAAAATCTTAAAAACCATCACTAATTTTTAAAATGTCACCCTTTTCTCAACTTTTAAAAAACTTACTTTGACTATATTGTTCATTATTTAAATCTGTCAGTGGAGGTACTTTCATAACAATTCTACACAACTCATTTTGGGCCGTCTGCAATTTATTTTTCTTTTTTTAGCACCACCGCTGTGCCAAAAAGCTGCAGCATAGTCAAAGTATGGCTGCACTAATGCACTGGCTAAAATGTTAAAAGTTTGGGTGTATCTGCCTGTCTTGCTAAAAACCTAATTTTAGAACAATTTTTTGAATGGACTATAACAGACATCTTTTCACCTGTCAAATTACCATCTAAAATGCAACTTAAATATTTCACTTCCTGTTTGGAGTAATAATTGCATCCCCTACTTTTATCTCTTACCCGACATTTTCTTAGTTTTGCAGTTGAACCAAATAAAATAAGTTCACTCAAATATTTAAATTTACTCACTCTCAAGTAGTTCTAAACCTTTCTGAGTTTCTTTCTTGTTGAACACAAACAAAGATAATCAAAAAAAATGTTACAAACCTGTTACCATCAATATCCATAGTGGGAAAAATACAGTAACACTTTATTTTGTTGGTCCATTTGAGTATTAGTAGACTGTCTGCTGAATATCTGCAGATACTGTTACTTCGACAGACATTTAACTGACTATAAGAAACTTTACAAGTACATGTCAACTTACACTAACCTTAACCCTAACCTAACAGTCTACTTATAATATAATGAGAATTAGTTGGCATGTAGAAGCAATGTAACTTAAATTCAACAAACGGACTATCAAAATAAAGTGTGACCAAAAATACTATGAAAACTAATGGTTACAGGTTCCAACATTTTTCAAAATTACTTAAAAAAAAAAAAAAAAAAAAGAAACTCAAACAAGGTTTCTGATGAAGGGTGAGTAAAATGTGACAATTATTTTTTTAAAGTGAACTAAACCTTTAATTCATAATTAAAAAAAACATATAAATAGTAAATATATATATATATATATATATATATATATATATATATATATGTACGAAAATAAACAAATGCTATAAATAATATATGAATGACACAGAATAACACTGCCTCGGTGACTTGAGTATTGTTGTTGCTGCTGCTCTGAGTGAGTGAGTGTGCAGAAATAGACCCCAGTATTTCGGGGTGGAGGGGGAGTTCCTGCTGTCACATGCTCGTCTGGAGCGGAAGGGTACAGGAGACCCTAGAAACTCTCTTCAGCCGCAAACTCAACGCTCTTCCCAGCTCTACAGTTTGGTTCCGATCCTTTTAGAGAGCGACTGTTTACAGCATCTGCGCCGCACCGCTGGATCTTGTCATATTCTTGTATCACTGCGCGCGGGTCTACATTCTCTCGCGGAGGAGTCCGGCGGAGCTCCCAGAAGTTCCCACTGACCGGCTGAAGACCGAGGGATTGGCGATCATTCACGGGAGATTCGTGTCCAACAAACTCGGAGGAACACAACACTAAGATAAACTCTTCATCTGCGCCCCGTCTTCCTCATCTTCCTCCTCTGCGTGTTGGTGCGGGAGAATGGCGCAGATTTTACCAATCCGCTTCCAGGAGCATCTGCAGGTAAAACCGCACAAACACCCGCAACATTTGCGCTCGACGCCGACAAAACTGTAAACACGCAACTGTGAAAGAGCGGCCTCGCCCGCGCTCCTGCACCTACAGCACAACTTACAAAGCTGATGATGATATATATGTGTGTGTGTGTGAGATTTACGAGATCGCAGAGTTGCGTTACGTGTTACTTAGTAGCCTGACATTTAAGAGAATTGATACATTGAAATGTTACATAGTTGCCTGACGTAAAAAAGATACATTGCAACAGTTCAACCACGATGACGTGTTTGAAATTGCTATACAGTTGCTAACATTTAAAGTATATGATACATTGTAATAGTTTAACTATGATGTTAGAAATTGTTAGAAATTTAGTTGTCTGACATTTAAAAGAATTGATACATTGTAACAGTTCAAACATGATGAGGTTTGAAATTGTTACATAGTTACCTGACCTACAAAAAGATACATTGTAACAGTTCAAACATGATGATTTGTTTGAAATTGCTAATTGGTTGCCTGACATAAAAAGATACATTGTAACAGTTAAATCATGATGACTTTAAAATGGCTGTATAGTTGACTAACATTTAAAAGAATTGATGCATTGTAACGGTTCTTCAGCTATGATAATATGTTCGAAATGGTCACATAGTTGCTTGATGTACTTAATAGAATTTATACATTTGTAACACTTCAACCATGATGGCATCTGAAGTTGTTACATAGTTGCCTGGTGTAACGGAGGCCACCTAGTAAGTGTTGTGCAAGTAAAACTCACTCCTCTGACCTCTAAAGGTGCTCTAGTGACAGACGCTAGAGGCCATGGTCTTTACCCTTCTTGTTAGAGCAACCGACTCCCATGCTGAAGGTCGCCAGTTCGAAACCAGCTTGGAGAGGGATGGGTGGTGTAGGACCGGCGGGGTTACATTGGTGCCGTGACCCAGATGGGAGTGAGGTTTAGGGGGGTGAGTGTAACGGAGGCCACCTAGTAAGTGCTGTGCAGGTAAACCTCACTCCTCTGACCTCTAAAGGTGCTCTAGCGACAGACGCTAGAGGCCATGGTCTTTAGCCTCCTTGTTAGAGCAACCGACTCCCATGCTGAAGGTTGCTAGGTCGAAACCAGCTTGGAGAGGGTTGGGTGGTGTAGGACCGGCAGGGTTACATTGGTGTAAAATAAAATTCATTGTAACAGTTTAACCATGATCACGCTGTAGAAATTGCTACATAGTTCTGTGCTTGACACTTAAAAGAATTGATACATTGTAACAGGTCAACTATGAGGATGCGTTTGAAATTGTTACTTTGTTCCCTGACATAAAAAATAAACATTTTAACAGTTCAACCATGGGTAAAAAAAAGAGAGATTGTAACAGTTCAACTATGATCACGTGTTAGAAATTGCTACTTAGTTGCCTGACATATAAAAGACACATTGCAACAGTTCAATTATGATGACTAGTTTGAAGTAGATGTATAGTTTGCCTCACATTTAAAATAATTGGTACATTTTAACAGTTTAACTATGATTATGTGTTTGAAATTGTTACATAGTTGCCTGATGTACTTAAAAGAATTGATGCATGGTAACAGTTTAACCACATTGGCACATTTGAAATTGCTGCTTAGTTGCGTGACGTAAAAAAGATGCATTGTAACAGATTATCTATGATCACATGTTAGATATTGCTACATAGTTGCATGACACTTAAAAATGTTACATTGTAACAGAGTTCAACCATGGTGACGTATTTCAAATTGTTACATAGTTACCTGACGTAAAAAGATACATTGTAACTCTTCAATCATGATGTCATGTTTGAAATTGCTATATAGTTGCCTGACGTAAAAAAGATACATTGTAACAGTTCAACCATAGGTAAAAAAAAAGATGGATTGTAACAGTTCAACTTTGATCACGTGTTAGAAATTGCTACTTAGTTGCCTGACGCAAAAAAAGAGACATTCTAACAGTTAACCTTTGATGACTCATTAGAAATTGCCACATATTTACATGACACATAAAATAATTGCTAAATTGTAACATTTCAACTATGATGATGCGTTTGAATTTGTTACATTATTACCTGACATAAAAGAGATTCATTGTAACAGTTCAACCATGGCTAAAAAAAATACATTGTAACAGCTCAAGTACAATCACGCGTTTGAAATTGCTGCCTAATTGCCTGACATAAAAAAGATACATTGTAACAGTTCAGTCATGATGACTTGTTTGAAATTGCTGTATAGCTGCCTGACATTTAAAAGAACTGATACATCAACTATATGATGATGCGTTTAAAATTGTTACATAGTTGCCTGACATACTTAAAACAATTGATACCTTGTATCAGTTTAAACATAATGACACGTCAGAAAATGCAGAGTTGCGTGACATTTAAAAAAAAAGTTCAACCATGATGACATGTTTATAATTGTTACATAGTTGTCTGACATTAAAAAAAAGATACATTGTTACAGTTTAACCATAATGATGCGTTTGAAATTGCTATATAGTTGTCGGACATTGAAAAGAATTGATACATTTTAACAGTTCAACCATGATGACGCGTTAGATATTGCTACACAGTTGCATGATATGCATCAATGGATTGCTCTTCAGTGTTTGGTCCCTCAGTAGTGACTATTAAACCACACTGAACTGAGCTGAACTGAACTGAACTTAAACACTGAAAACTGAACTACACTGTTTCAATTTACTATGACCATTTATGTGAAGCTGCTTTGACAC